TATATATATCAATCTTATCATCAATCTTATCTATTATTTGATATATATATCTTTTGATATATATATCATTTTGATATATATATATATATATATATATATATATATATATATTTGATATATATATGAATATATATATATATCCCTCTCTTAGTATATATAAAATAAATTTATTACTTAACCAATAGATAATTATATCAAATTATCCTAAATAAACTGATTTATGGATTAGACTTAAAATAATCTTGAAATATATTATCTTAGAGCTACTTTTTCCTTTTGTAGTACAAATTAATAATAATTTGTAACAACAAATAGTCTTGTAAAACAAGAAAAGTCATTATGTGAGAATGTCATAAGTAATGATTTTGAAGTAATTGTTACTAGTGTATAAAGATTTCATGTAAAGACAAAGTAGGCTTAATATCTTTTTTAGTGCAATGTACTAATAATTTTATTATTTCTTTATCACAATAAAGATTTACCTTTTAGGCATTTTACATCTTCCATGGTTTTCTCTTTTTTTTATGCAATATATACTTACAATTTAAGTATAAATAAATATTTGTCATGATACATCACATTAGATATGGCTGTCATATCACATCACTAATTTTCTTTTTCGATAAAATGCAGGTTATTACATTAAGATCTTAATATAATTCATGTAATATACTGTATATATAATGTTATATTTTTCTTTGCAAAATGCAAAGTGACATTTTTAGAATATATATTATTAGTCTTTAGAATCATCTTCTGGCTGATATCGACTAATGAAAAAAATGTTTTAGACTCATGGTCATATTTTGACCTCACGAATATGCCTTTAAGTTGGTATCAATTCTCGTCTGGATAAGGCATTGTGGACTCGCCTCGGTGTCAGTGTGACGCATCCACATAGAACTTAGGTCCGTCTTCTTTGAAAACGTAAATACCACATTTGAGAATCTAACCTTCTGGTGATTCATCTTCACAGATTTGAATTCGATAATAAATGCTTTATAACGGACATTGCCTTTCCTTGCAATATTAAAGCTTACATTGCTCTTAATGACTATATAAAAAGAATTAATACCTCTATCTGACATCGAGCTCTTTGGACGAGTCTTTTGAACCTAGAGATTAGCTTCATGGACTATCATATAGAATATATCATATGAACGTCCGTGAGCCATATACAATGTCCCACTTATATATGTTATAAAAAACGTTGCATATTCTGCAAAAAAGATTTAGTCGAAAAGTTAGTTTTTAACATTACATTATTTTTAACATTGATAGATATTGCGCAAAGTGAAGCTTAAATAATTTCTCCCATTAAACACTATAGTTCACACTCGGTAGTTTTTTGCTAGACTAATATCTAAATATCCAAAAACTGCAAAGGTCTGGACACAAAAAACAAGCAATAAGAAAATTGACCAGTCACAATTTGTTATTCTTTAACTGTAAAAAGAATCATCAACTGTGGTTAATCAATTTACTTACTGCTTATGTTTTACTGTGTTCCCAGCCTAAAGGACTTTTCGTTTTTTGTGTAGAATATGTGACTTTTTTATGACATACATATATGAGCAGCACATCCTGTACATTATAATGCAACGCGCGACGCAGCGCTCTCAAACACAGCCAAACTCTAAACAAAGTTATTCGTTTGTGTCCTTGAAGATATTATTCAAATTACAAATATTGCCTGCACATGAGATAACATTGTAGCACAGGAACGATGCTTTAACGACACCGTCATATTAGTCAATAAAAAACAAGTGGGTATTCATACAGAGCTAGCAACGCAAGCGATTTCTTGTCTAGCGTATTTTTCTTCATCGTTTTAAATGGATCATTATGACAGTTAAGCCTCGCTGTTGTTCTCCGTATCAGGTATTTCTAGAATTCTCGGACCGTACAGAAGAACGTAGGCGCAATGCCAATCACCGCCTCCGCTGAGTTTCAGAACTTCCTCGCTGGTGACGGCCGTGACAACGTCGTCGTCGCATTTCATCCACGTGTCACCCTTTTGCCGTACCCAACCGACGTAATGACCGCTGCTGCTGGAACGTCCTCTGTGCGTCAAAACTGCTTGTAATTTATAGTAGCCGCTATTGTTCGAGCCCAGATCTGCAATGGCGAATAAAGACGCGTATTTCAGTATATGCTAAATTTATCAAACGCAGGCAAAACCATATTTTCTATTTCGTTACCGTTCTTAAACCAGAATGGCTCTTGCTTCATTTTCTTCTTTGTACTGTCTTCTTTATCCTTTTTATCCTTCGCATTACATTCCTCCATCATGGAATCTTCGTATTCTTTAAATTTTTCACGCATTGGAGTGAGTTTGTTTTGCAACTCGGGACTGCATAATTCAAAAGCGTCAAATTCCAGAGGAAATTTAACATCTTTTAAAATTTTCGCATTAATCGCTTCCTTCTCCTTGTAGTAAAATCGTACGAACTGTATAGTTAAATACGCTGGTAGCCTGCTAATTTTTGACTGAAAAAAAAAATATATATATACATAAATATATATATACATAAATTATTTTCTATTTCAAGATAAACAACAAATTTTTCTCGTAATATTGAACTTGTGTAGTGAATTTTGCACATTTTCTGAACAATATATTTTTGTAAACACTTGGAAAAATTTGTATGTGCAATTTAAAGACTTACCGTTTTTGTGTAAACGGCATTTCTTCCGAGTGTCGGGGACATTTTTGTGATTTGCTCTTGCATTTTGTTTCTAAGTCCAAAGTACATGTGTTTGACATCGGTCGAAATGAAACAACTCAGCTGCAAGAATTCTTCCTTCCCAGTAGTTGCTGGTTCATCTTCGGATTCGATGCATTTCAATTCAAAGTCAAATATGCCACCAAAATATTGTTCGATGAATGATTGTGGTTTGGAAGCTTCAGTATCATTTTCGGCTACATCTGGATTATCCTGTTGCACAAATACTTCCATTAATAATTTCGCATTAATTGGTCAAGTAAATATATATGAAGTTAGTCTCATATAAAATTAAGGACTTAGGAAAGCTATTTGTGTTGCATATCCAATGACCTTCGCAGGTAATTTCTGTTGTAACATCCTGATCAACTCTGTCCAACATTCATTAGCATCTTGCTGCTGAAACACGCCTTGCTCGGTTTTCTCCGCGAATCTCGGGAAGGCTAAATGCAACATTTGAACCAAAACAAGAGGAGCTCTAGACGTCCCCCTATCCATATTGTCATACAAATCTCTCAAAGCCGCTGTTATACTCTGTGCAGGTAACGACAGAGTCGCAGCTGCCGCCCAACCACCTGGGAACATTTTCAAAGATTCTCGCAACTCGGGTACACTCTTTAAACATTGCACCGTTGCATTCAGATAGCACGTGTTTCCTAGATTGAGTAAACCAGCTGGTAAATCTAAAGCTGTAGCTAACTCAGCTTCATTCATGTCCTCCAAGAATAGCGGCTTCTCTGTTGGTTCTGTAGGTACATCTTCTTCTTTGGAACCCATCATAAGTACCGTGACACCCTGATCCAATAAACGACCAACAATTACAGATCTTCTTAATATTTTAGTTTTTTACAATGTGAACTTGGTTCAAGAAAAGCAGAGTATGCTTATATATCATTACATCTTTCAGTGTTAGATTGCCCCAATCATCATCCTTCAATGTCATTCCTTTCAGCATGACTTTCTGTCTCCCTGGTTGAACTCCGGTCAGGGCAAAAAGCTGTGCCTTGAATAACATCGGTTCCTCTTCAGTATTCACTTCTACATTAGAAAAGAGTTCTTTGCCCCATTTCACTTTAACTGAAACACATGAATAAATAATCAGATACAAAAATCGACGACAAATAATAAATAGTGCAGAACAGACTGATCTAAGTCTAGGTTAGATTTAGATTATCTAAGGCTAGGCATAAAGACGCATGTATAGCTCAATTTGTATCTTCTGAAATAATTCTAGAAATCAACAGATCTTTTGTAATAAGCGAATATTTTATAGCATATTACGAAATCTCTACATCCTGTGTATATCTTTTTTGCTCATTGTGAAAATTTGATAGTATACTTTTAGGTTAGATATTACAAAGACTGAATGCATACTTATATATTGAGGCATGTTTATTCGTCGTATATGACTGCAGTAGACGAATACGCCGCACCAGTAATATTGAATTTTTACACGAGACTTTTTTATAATAACAATTATAATTAACCGCAAAGTGCCAAGTCAGGTTCGCGGCACTTCTTGAGTACCTTGTGTGTGTGTCGCTACGAAGAATTTACCACAATGACGGACAGATGGCCAGCTGATGTGGATGCTGTGTATGTCGTGCGGTAAATTCGCTTTCGTTTTACAAATCGTCGCGATTCACGATACGACATGCGACAAATCTTCAAATGAAATTATCACAAAAAAATTCCTTTTGCAATATTGGGATTTATGAAACTTTTATTTCCTGTCACATACATATTTTGACTCCACTAATATATTACCGCTAAAATTCTTCTGTAAATTAGGACCAGCCTAATATAACGTTATTAATATTATAACATCACTATAATCATGTTGCTGCTTGTTACTGATTACATCTCATATATGATTTAGCGTGTTGCTATAGAAATAGACAACAATATCAATTTGATACATCATATGCATACGTGATATAATGGCAACATGAATAAATAAATCTGAAAAGTAGTTGAGAAGAGAGGCAAGAATCTAAATAAATAAATATAAAATGTAATGAAAGACTAACTGTGCTGCATATAGCGAGAACTGTATCTTCGCGTGTTCGAAGTAAGGACAATAGTAGCGATTGGTAAAGCTAAGCCCAAACTCGTAAAGTCGAGTCCCAGCTACCGGTCGAGAGCGCAGTACCGTCCGGTGAAACTCTCAGACACGAAACGCGATTCTCGTGCCCGTATAACAATGCCACTCTTTGGCACTTGAGAGTATCCCACACGTTCACCGTGTAATCGTTGTAGCCGGCGAAGAGCAGACGGCCGCTCACGCTGAGGTCGACTGCGTTCGCTCCGAATATTATACTTTCTTTTGCGTATACCGCAACTTCTCTGTCTGCACGTAGATCGAACAAGCGACAAGTAGCGTCGTCCGATCCTGTCGCTACCGCGTCGCCTCCTGGATGAAATCTTACCTATGTTCCGAGTACAAGTAACATTATATTAGATTCTACTTTCACAGAGAAAATTGCCAGGAAGATCTGTTGATAATAGAGGGAATACGTCCAATGGCCAACACTCGTTGAATCAGTTTTTGACAGTCTTGCTTAGGTGCCATCTAATATCAAGGTGTACGAGGATTTATTAATTACTTATCGAATATTTTACCAACTATTACCTATTATTTACTTATTCGTTTTTTCCAAAATCCTCATACATCTTTCAATATCCGACAACATCCGCGCAAGAATGCCGACTATTGGATGTTTTCTTCTACTATCATTAGCTTCCATTTGTCAATGGAATTTGATTACTACACACCGAGTTGACATCGGATTGATGTCCTTCGAAGCTTTGCACACATTGGCCACTGCGCATATCCCAGATTAAAACCATCTTATCACAGCCACCCGACACGAACGTATTTCCAGTTTCGCTGGGCGCTAAATCAATGGACATGACGTCGCTGGAGTGACCTTGGAAACTTTGCAATAACTGCCCACTCTCCACGTCCCACAAGCCGCATGTACTGTCCCCACTGCCTGTTAGAATCTGCTGATCGCTGTTGGGAAACGCGCAACACGACATGTACGATGTATGCGTGCCGACAGTTTTCTTATGAGCTGAGACATCGTCTTCTAAACTTAATGGGTACACTGTAACTTTGTTGTCCAATCCGCTACAACATTACAGAACAATGAGAAACTACCGATTTATCGCAACAAATTTAATGTATCCTCTGTGTAATAAGTACACATACCCACATGCTACTAAAGTACCACTGGGACCATAAGCACATGCCATGACCCATCTGGTTGGCATACTAACAGCGTGTTCTTTATTTGTTGTGAAGGCATCCCATATAATCATTTTTCCATCCTAAACATGAGAGATACATTAGTCACTACACGATATATAACAAGTATAATATACAATATATAAGTATAATACATAAGTTAATATGAAAAACCATTATATAAATTTACCTGTGAAGAAGAAACAATATGACGTTTATCAGGAGACCAATCAGAGCATAGAACTTTGGCTTGATGTCCTTTTAAGATACGTCTAGGTTTTACATTTATACAGTTAATTATTTCAAGTCTATCAGCTACACTGGCAACTGAAACAAAATATAAAATATTATTTTTCACAAATACTTATAACAGTGCTTCTTTAAAATATTCTTCTATAAACTTGAAATTATTAATTATTTTAATATTAATTAAAGGGACTCCAAAAATTATATAAACTTAGTACTATTATTATTGGCATATTCTTACAAGTCTGGGAAAAGGAAGATCTACATAAAAAATATGTTTTTATCAATTTCCCAATAAAAAGATTAAATAATTTGTAATATTAATAAGAAAAAAATAGCATTTGTAAATGAGATTCTTACGGGTAATATCATTTAACTTTTGTCGTTCATCCTCCAAACGAATCTTTAAACACTCTGCTTCCTTCGCTAACTTTTCTATATGTTCCAGTTCTGTAGCAGTGTCCATTCTGTTTTACTTCCTCAACACTAAGCAATTTTTTAACACTTGATAGACAAATTTCACAAGTAATCCTCCATACACTGAAATTATTACATATCAAAATTATATCAGCACACACATATGTGTGTACATGTATAAATTCTACTATAAATATATATATATATATATATATATATATATATATATATATAT